TGCATGCCTTACTTGTGATTTTTGGCAGACATAAAATGGCTTTGATTCATCAAAGTTTTTATCTCGTATAAATCTCATAAAAAATAGCTGATATTCTTGCATCTTTTCAGATTTTTTTAAAAGAAGATATAAATAGCTTGATATTTAGCTAGAATGCTGGGTGGTCACATTGCCAAGAACTCATAAATCCTCCACTGTAACTGCCATGTTAGATTCACATCAAAGAATCTCACTATGATAACCCAAGACCAAGATGATAGCACAGAAATGAGGGCTGCAGGGAGCTCCATCCCAAACTGGACTCTACTTCCTAATCGAGTTGATTCGCACGTCCCTGCACCTCCCAGCCCTCGCCCAGCAGAAGCAACAGCCACTGAAGTGGGCAGGAAACAGTGGCCATCGTCCATGGCAGAAGCTTTTGAAAGACCTGTCCATGTGAGGACCTGGGAGTCCACCGGACTGGATCAGCATTTCCCAGGCGTGCAGTGAGCGAGCTCCCTCAAGTCCAGCCCCCTCACCTGTCCAGGAACACGACGACACCCCCAGGGCGTTATGAAGACCAGAGGACCCACTGCCAGGCCGAGGGCAGCTCTGCAGGGCCTGCTGGACAATACCGCTGGTCCCCGCAAACAGCACTGTTCCCAGGAGCCCGTGAGCTCCACGGCTCTCATGCACAGCCGGGCCGTGCGGTCCTGTCCCTTGACGATCCTCCTTTTGGGGTTCAGTCACTTCCTGCAGCGGTGGCTCTCCAACCTCCCTCCTCAGGATTCTGGGGTGCTGCGGGTACTTCCCGCTTTGCCCCCTGTTCTCCTAGAGGGGGGCGAGGGAAGACGCAGAAGCCATCTGCCCTCTGCACTTGGTTCCAAAACTCACTGTCACAGAAGTTGAGGAAGAGACCCTGCTGCAACTGCCACTCGCAGTACTGACCACTGGTGACTTGCTGAAACACCTAACTAGCTGAGGCTCCTCTCAGCAGGGGCAGACAGAGTCGGGCTCCAGGGACGCCCGCAGGTCTTCCTGAGCTCCCCGCCAGGGTGCACTGGGGCCCTCGGAACCTGCTCCTCCCACAGCTTCCAGGCCGGTCCCTGCACCTCGGGCGGCCAGTGCCACCAACAGGCACACCAGGGTGCTTCTAAGCCGTCGACCACTAGTGACTCAACACCGCAGTTCTTTCTTGGTCCCCTGGTAAGTAGTGGGAAGGAAGAGGGTCAGGGGCTCTGCTGGTGACCCCGGGTCCCGGCTGGCTGGTTACGACTGAGGACTTGCCACGTGGCTGCTGGGCTCCCTCAGAAGCTGCCAGTTCTGGCTTCTTTTAAAACAGTAGGTGACGCTGATCCTCCATCACGGGTCTCCCAACACCCTCCAGGGTCCTCCTGTTTCCAGCTTCTGCAGCCAGGAGGCCATGCCCCAGGTTATGGGCTCCATTCTGGGAGTCACGAGGAAGCAGTGACTCCCGAGTCCTGGCCAGGCCTCTAAACTTGGATCTCAAGATCTCCACAAGAGAGGAGAGGTGGCCACACAGGCAGGCGGCCCTGAGGTCTGGAGTCACGCGGAGGCTGCCGCTGGCCCGTGACATTTATACCACCACCGCCACGCCTGCGCACGCCTAGCGCTTCTCTTTCTTCCTGTCCTCTGGAGACCGATTCTCTCTGGACGTAATTTCAGCTGGGCCACACAAGTCTGGAAAGAGGAGAGGTGGGGAGGGGAGGCTGCCCGCAGTGCAGAGCCAGTGGGAACCCCCTGAGTGACATCGCCAAGCCCCCGGGGAGGGCGCCAAGCGCTCCATCCCACGAATGGCTGGTGTGAGTGGACGGTCCAGAAACCAGTCGTCACAGCAACGAGGCCAGGGCAGGAGACACGGGGGCCGGCACCAGGGACAGGCTCAGGGCCCTGCAGGCTCTCAGGGAGGGCCCCGGCCACAGGACCTGCCGCTGACCCCAGCTTCATCAGACCTGCAAGCCAGCAGTGCAGTCACACATTCTGTGATCAAATCTAAGTCACAGGCCACCAGAATGGCTACTGCCACAGGCCCCCAAGCACACGCTACCAAGGTGAGGAGCACTGGGTACTGGGGATGGCCACACGGAGGTGTGGCGCATGTCATGAGGTTGACGCTCCTCTACCACGGGACCTGGCGCATCCCCTGCCGGACATGCTCCCACAAGAAACAGAGTCAAGTCCACAGGACGCGCTTCGCAGACACAGACAGCAGGTTCTCCAGAACTTAAAAAAATAGAAAAACACTCCACTGTCTACCAGCTCATGAGATGAGCAGGTCACGGTCCTTACCCACACCCCGGAGGAGCCAGCCGGCCACAGGAGGGTGCACTGCCGCCCTGCCACCCCAGGCAGGAATCTCCAGCCAGGAGGTGGACACGGAGGCCACGTGCCACATGGGCCCATGCTGTGGCACCCTAAAACCAGCAAACACAGCCCCAAAGCAGACCAGACACTGTGGTGGGGTGGGGGGCGAGGAGGCACAGCTCTGGGGTGACGGGGCAGTGGAACTCCATGTGGTGGGGTTTCCTGACCGAGTGCTCATCTGCCCAGTCTCACCAGCCACGCTTACAGTGGACGAGCGCCTTGCATGTGAGTCCTACCTGGACTCTGCAGGGCGTGGGGCTGTCAGCCGACCAAGTCGTCCTCACGGGCAGCTGGTGGGTAAAGAGAAGCCGGATCCTGAGGACAATTCTAAGCAAGGAGCTGCCTCACTTCACTCTAGTGACCCTGCTGACCCTTCTCCTGGGTTGCCTGGACCTACTGTGGAGAGACCATTCTTGCTACCTAGAAAGAGAAGTTCAGCCAGAGCGGGGTTTGGGCTGAATCCTTTCACCAGCACGAAGGAGTCTTGGGAGCCAAGATTTTGAAGCTAAAAGCTGAATGTGGTCTTCAAAAGTGTACAGAATCAGTCTGGCCCATACCAGGGCTGACAGACAGAATTCGAATAAACTCAGGTTCAGATGCCAACAAATAGCCTGTCGGCATGACTGCACCCCAGGTCCTGTGTGGCACATGTCCCCCCGCCCATCAGTACCACCGTCATGGGTCCAAGTAAGGCCCTTGGATTTTATTTATTCTCTCCCGGCTGACCTGATGAACCTCGCATGTGTGTCAAGGCTGCAGGTATTTTTAGGAACTTCTGCTGGACCTTCCTCTTAAGAAACTGTAGCTGAAGAAACATGCAGGTGCTGAAGATGTGGACTTCTGAGCAGCAACTGCCTCAGGACTTTATTAACCACAGGGCGACCACTGACCCAGGGCATCGCCACCTTGGTCCTCATTAGAAAAGAAGCTTGGGTTCCACCCGGACCTCTGGAGCGCAGAGCCTGCACTGGGCAGGATGGATAGGCAATTCCTATGCCGTTGCAACTGCAGAAGCACCAATTCAGAAGACCGTGTGCTGGAGAAATTCCCAGGGCAGGGACACACGGGGTGTTCTGAGGGGAACGGGCTGCGGGAGTGAAACCCTCACAGGAACGTCTGGAGCGCACAGGCGCTGCCTAAAGCTGCCCACTGCCGCGCAGCAGCAAAATGAACAGAAGTGAAGCGAGAGACTCCCGGGCCACGTCAGCACACCTGGTTCCAACTGGGCGGCAGGACAGAGACGCAGAACCCGAGCAGACTGACGAGGAGGGCAGCCGTGTGCGTCATGCATGTGATTCACCCGGCTGTGTCGGCTCCAGCTGGCCCTCCTGGCCTGGCCCACTGGGCCCTGACGCTCCTGCACCGCCCGCCCTCACTGGCATGCTCCCGTCCGACCCTGGTCTGGGCAAGACTGAGATTCAGAGTCTGAAGCACACCTCCTAGCAAACGTGCGTTGCTTTTGCACCTACAGGAGTCAAAGCCCTGCGGTCAGAGGGTGGCCAGTGGGACGGCACTTCCAAGGACGGTGTGGGCCCAGCCTGGGAAGCTACGGTGCCGGGAGCCCCAGGAAGCACGGCACGGGGGAGGGCTCCAGGGGGCAGCCTGCTGCGCACTCGGCCCTGGCTCTAGCACTGCCTGGGCTTCAAGGGGACTCCAGCGTCCAGACCCTGGCCGAGAGACTCGAGTTAACCGGTGTCACAGGGAACTTTACACGTCAGCCTGCTGGGTCCAGGGCCACCGGGACGGCTGGCCAACATTCCTTCTGTGTGTGTTGGTGACAGGTTTTCAGAGGGAAGAGCGCAGGAGTCAGGGTCTGCCTAGAGAAGACCCTCCCACCCGCGAGGGCAGGCACCTCCCATCCACCTAGCGCCCCAGGGAAGAAGAGCAGAGGGAGGTCCTGCCACGGGAGTCACAGACTCTAGGGACAGGGACGGCACTCACCAGCAGCCTCCCTCCTCAGGGCCGAGCACACTGCCCACTGCTGGGTGTCCAGCCCAAAGACGGAGGACCCTGGGCTTCCCGGCCGACCACGGGACAACCCCTGACAAGTCCCCCGTCCATCTAGACACTGCAGACGCAGCCCGGACCGACAGAGTGAGCCCCCGTGCGGCAGAGCGGGAACACACAGCCGAGGACTCAGCTTATCTGAGGCTCTGTCCACTGTCTTTTCAAGTAAATATAAAATGATGCCGTCTCTCAGAATCGGCAGACTGACACGATTCACACTGAAATCTACACAACTGGAATTAGCTACGCTGGCTATTTTTTCAAAATCTCAATTTGAATCCAAAGGTTGACTGATGATCCTTAGAGCTGAATGATCATTCACGATGAAAACTCATTCCAGTCACGGCTTGGTCACTCTTCTAAGGCAGAATAGGTGCCCGGAGAGGGCAGGCAGGAAACAGCACGAATGACATTTGTTCTAGTCAAAGGCCACAGTGAAGCTGTCAGGATTCGTCCTGGCAACCGAGGGCTCGGTGGGGACACCAAGCTGAACACCGAGCAGGACTTCGGGCGCCTGCACATGTCACTGTCGTATTGTTTCACTCATATGCAAAGTAAAAAATATGTATATTTATATTCAAAGAGAAAAGTATTCTCAAATGACCTTTAAAAATGAAAAATTGCCTTACCTCCTCCCTGTGATTCTTAATTGGCATACAGAGAATACTTTGTGTCCTGTAGCCTGTGATTTGGTCGACTTCTGCATTGAACCGGGGATCCTAGGGAGGAAAAAGAAATTCAATTTGATGACTGATCTCTACAAAGACTGATGGGATTTTTCTAATTTATTAGATCAGAGAATCTAACCTTCGACTTAGCTGGCCGAACTGAGTAAAAATGTCACGACGTGGCAGGCAGTCAGTCACGTGAACACTGCCATTCTTTGACAAAGATGAATCCAAGATTTTTTTTTAGCAACTAGTGTTTATGAGAAACCAACAACGACCAAACAAAAAACAAAACAAAACAAAAAAACCAAACAGAGACTTTTTAAAAAGAAAGGAAATTGAAAGTACTATTTAGAGAATCTCACATTCAGGAAAAAATTGGTGGCTGTCACCTCTGTGACACAATCTGCCGGTCCCTGCTGTCTCGCGGCCTGGTTTTGCTGTGCCATCCAGAGAGCACAGCTCTGGAACGCCCCTGGGACCGGCGGCCTCAGAGCCTGCACCGACCTCCCCTGCGGAGGCCACTCCCCTGCTTGCCTTGCCTTCGGGGCCTCTACCCCAAGGGCTCATGAGAATCTAACTTTCTGTGTGTGCAAAAGGGTGCGTGGATGGACTTGTACGACTCCTCTGGCTCTCTTTCCCTTTCTACAAAGCACGAGGTGCACATCTAAGAACCACAGAGGACCTTCGTGGGGGTGTGGAAGTGCTGAATGTGGTTACGGATGGAGACTCGAGGGCAATGTCTCCACTAGGCTTTAGAGTAGGAAGACCTAAAATTAGGCTGCAGACTCCAGGAGGGATTCACTATCAAATGACTCTGTCGCTATCCAGTGTGATCAGGAAGGAAACCCACAAACACCGGGCTTGAGTGAGACCAGAAGGAAGCAGACGTGCAGACCCTCCGAGGGCCCCGCTCCCTCCGCACAGCCCTGGAAGGGCTCCCGATCTCTGCACCTGGAATTCCCTCCCTGGAACGTGGCCGGCCCACCTGGGAAAACCTCACCCTTTGAAGGTCACATCTGTGTATTAATCTGAAGTCAGGCACAGACAGAACTGTGGTGGGTAGGCCACTGCATGAGCGTGCGCCAAATGGGGTCAGAAATGAGGCCAGTTCTCCTCCGAGAGGCCACACTTGGCTTTAAAGATGATTTCAAAAGAAAAGTTATAAAATGACAGAATACTATAAACACTTACTTCATTTTTGCTTTTTTCCCCAAACATGCTCAAGATTATATTAACTAAGATACACAAAAGCCTTAGCTAAATATTTCCTAAAAATAGTTCCTATTTATCTTTAGATCTTTAGGTATCTTTCAACTGCAAGGGAAAGGAGAGGAGACAGGATCCCGAGACGGACGAATCACAGAAGTGAGGAGCGAGTGACGAGGAGCAAGTCATTCTACAAACTTACAAATAAGAAGGATAAAAATGCACCTTCTGTAGCTAATTTTAAACAAACATTAGGATTGTGAGACCAATTTACGAAGCAGAGGACTTGACCAGTGGAGGCCGTGGACTGTGAAATCAGGAGGACGGCGTGGCTTCTTGGTGTCACGGTGACGTTCACCTCAGTGGCAATCCTGGAGGCTGCCCTTCAAGGAGGAGGGTGGGATAAACACACCCCTCAAATGCATTCTACCTGAAGGTCCAGATTCCTGGTACTGCAAGGAAAAGTGTCCTTCACCAATGAGGTCAGCACAGAGGGACCCACACAGAGGAGCGCTCACTCCTCCAGGCCAGGAAACAAAGGAAAAATGGAACTCTGCTACCCTGGGATGACAGCGGCTGCCAGCTGTGAGAGCACGCTGTGGGGAGACCCCCGCTGGGTGTCCCCTCAGCAGGCTGCACACTCACAGGTACTGGACGTGCCCTCCCGAGAAGACCCCCACCATCCCAGACGAAGCTGCAGCCGAGGCAGAGGGAGACACGTGCCCACCTCACAGCAATAAGCTTTGTGCCCGGGACGCTCCTGTCTTGGAGAAGCAGGTGCTGCCCACGGAGAAGGCCTGGGAGACCTCCAACCTGCGTGGCTGGAACTTGTAAACTAAAGAGAGACGCTGAGTTGAGGGCGAAGCAGGAGTGAGCAAGGGTGGCAGAGCAGGAGTGGCCAGTCCCCTTGGACATGCAAGGGCCAAGCACTGAGAGGACAAGCAACGTGGCCTGCTGAGGGCTGACGCCGGGCAGGGAAGGGCCTGTGGACAGCGACACTCAGCGAGGGCAGGGCAGGCCACTCCTGGGGAGCGCGGATCACACCCCGTGTGGGTGGCTCCTGAGGCCAGTTCAGAACCGGAGCTCACCCTCCCCAACAAATAATAAGACGGAGCCTGGCAGGATCAAATGCTGTGCCCCAATTCCACCTCCCGCCAGAAGCCCGAAGGCCCTGCACGGCAGGCACCCAGTGTGTACCCACAGTCACAACCCCCGAGGACAGGAAAGAGAAGGAGTCGACAGAAATGGCCCCGATGGCCAATGCTGGACCTAACAGGCGAGGCTTTACAGCACCTTGACAAACAGACGTAAGGACTTAGGAGAAACCGGGTGCAATCAGGCACAGGGGACTCTGCAACGAAAGGGAACCGCGACGTGGGAATTCTAGAACCGAAAAACTGTAAAACGAAAAGGTTCGCTGATGAACCAGCAGACTGGAGATGGGGGAAAACAGGGTCCAAGAGCTGACCGCGGTCCAGCGGGAGGCACTGTTCAGAGGACTAGGGGGTGAGACCCGGAAGGTGCTGGTCTTGTGCTTCCAGGACATACATGACCGGAGTCCCAAAGAGAAGGCAGTCAAAGGGCATCCGATCATGATGGGGATTCCCAAAGCTGGGAAAGCCGTCAGCTTATTCTCCCAGTGAGAAAACAATCCACGGGGGAAGCACATTAGGTGCAGACGGAGGACAACTGGACGCCCCCGAGAAAACTGAAGTGCAGGAACAAATGGGAAACCCATTTAAAGTGCTGACAGAAAACCGCCCTCAGCTGAGAGTCGTGGTGCAGTGAAAATGTCCTTCAAAAACGCAAACAGCAGCATTTCCAGATAAACCGACCTGCCTCTGTCACCACCAGATACCAGACGTTGCAAGAGGGGCTCTCCACCTGAAGGGCAGCGGGCAGGGACTGCAGAGGGCAGAGCGAGGAGCTGGCTTGTGCAGGAGGTGATGTCTAGGACCGAGGGAGCCGCAGCTTCCTCCGTAGAGCAGGAGGTACCAGACAGAGAAAAGGAGAGGAGACCCCGCGCCCCGCGCCCCGCGCCCCCGCGCCCCTGCGCCGGGCTGAAGCTGGAGGCCTAATGGGGTAAGCAGAGGCCCAGGAATGTGGTGCAGGTGCACACTGTACTTTATGTCTTCTCCCAGTTGTCTCCTGACACACCCACAGCCACGAGCAGGGGCCAGAGCCGTGAGCACGTCTGGCGCCGCCACCTTGGTTTCTAAACACCACTCCCTGCACCAAAGGAACCGGGTCCCCTGAGAAAAAGGACAGTTCTAGGGCTGCAGAGGGAAGAACAGACAGGCTCAAACGTCTGCATAAGCAGAAAGTGGGGGAACACCCCAAAGATGGCTCACAAGGAGAGAGAAGTCGGCAGATCCCATTCGCGCTGAGCACCAGGACAGACAGAGGGACAGCAGGTCGAGTTCAGAAGAAGCCGTGAGCCACACTGAGTGAGCCATGAAGGGAGGAGGAAGCGCTTTCTTACGCCAGAAGCTAGGAATGAACCAGAAGGCAAATGGAGGCCAACGCGTAACGCAGGCCAGATTCGAGGTCACGGGCACCAGGGTGAACCCCAGAGACAAACCTGGCACAGACCTCCTTCTAAAACTGATGTGATTTCCCTGGAAACAGTTGTATTTTTTATATTTGTGACAAGCCACTTCCAACCAGACCTGAGTCCCTGCTGACAAGATGACTTAGAGGGGTGTGGGGTGAGTGGAGAGCCGTCCAGAGCTTCAGCCTGGGGCCGAGCACCAGGAAACCAGCCAGGTGGTGCTGGCGTGGAGCACTCAGCCTGGCCCCGACTGCGGGGAGGAAGGACGGTCTGGGACTGCAGCGCCCAGGGCCAAGGATTTCATCAGTCTTGCCTGATTAGACGAAGCCTCAGCAAGAACTGGGCCCAGCTGGGAGCTTGCGGCTGGGGTCTGTGCGGGGGTGAGCCGGCCTGAGGCCACCTCTCCCACCTGGCTGCTGCTCAGGTGCAGCCTCTGTAACAGAACTCCCCCCAGTGGAGAGCTGCCCTGGGTCCATGGGCCGCTGCAGCGACCACCGAGCCCAAGGGGCCGTGGGCAGCTCTAACCTGCGGCCAGCTGGAGGGAGGGCAGGGAGCTGTGGACCCACTGAGGAGGTACCCGGAGTCACGCAGGGTCCCCGCCAACTGCAGAAAGCGTGGGAATTGAGAGGGACAGCAGAACCCGCTGGTGCTGGAGAACCAAGCAGGGTCCTGACATCAACCTCTGTGGCCCAGCCGCAGTCTGCACGAAGGGCGTCCCACAGAGCTGCTGCCTGTACCCCTCTGAGTCTCAGGAGAGAAAATGGAGAGGCTGAGCACTGCTCTGGACTGACAGGTGACCAAAGAGACACCACGACCCTGGATCCTGGTCAAGGTCCAGCCGAGAAGGAGACGTAACTCCTCGTGTCAGGAGCTGGGCGGCTCCGGCTCCTCGGGTGCACCTGCTCTCAGCACCTGGCGAGCCTCTTCTATGCCGTGACACTCTTCTCACTGACCGGAGCTCTAAGGTCTTCTTCCTACAGCTGGGCCCTGCATGCCCCTGGGCTGCCCGGCTGATGGGTGAGTGGGGACAGTGTGCACCTGTGGTCTCTGCAGCTGGACTAAGTGGTGGATCTGGTCTTACATGTCTATGACCTGTGTCATTCTGTCAGTGATATGATTGCTGCATTTACAAATCTGTGTCATTTTGTATCATTTTCTATTATGGGCTTGAAAAAGTGAATCAAATATTGATAATTTCTTACAATTAATCTGAGATTATGTTCTTGATTCTTGCCTTCAAGCTGAGCACTATTCTATTTCATGGTCACTTCTTGCTTTTCCATGGCTATGTCACAACCTTTCAAAGGTCCTGTGGTCAAGTAAGTACAAGGAATATGGCTACAGAGCACCACCCCTTTTACAGCTGCAAGTCAACAGAAGGAGGGCTCAGAACACCTGAGAATGCATCTTCATATTCTGATGACTTTCACAGACTATGAGACTGGCTGGATGTGGTGACACATGACAGTAATCCCAGCAGCTTGGGAGGCTGAGACAGGAGGATCACAAGTTCAAGAACAGACTCAGCAACTTAGCAAGACCTGGTCTCAAAATAAAAAGTGAAGAGGGCTGGGGAAGTAGCTCAATGGCACAGCTCCCCTGGGTTCAGTCCCCAGGAAGGAAGGAAGGAAGGAAGGAAGGAAGGAAGGCAAGCTACGGGATGGTATTTTGATTATCCAAGTCATGGTGAGGCTGAGGGACTTCCTGTGCCTGGGAAACTAGAACAGACTCAGCCCCACGGCTCAGCATGAGCCTCTTGCCTGCTACAGCTTCTGTGAGCCACGGCACACATGGGTCGAGGGCACTGAGGGTGAAGTCCACAGACCTGTTAGAAGGCAGCACCACTATTAACCACTATTAACCACATTAACAGCAGCAGGAGTCCGCAGGGGTCCTCAGAGTGTGGCAGCAGGGAGCTGGCACCCCCTCACCCCGCCCCAGGGCTGCACCACCTCATAAGCATACAGTGTCAACCAAGATGCCCTGCTTAGAAAGCATTCATAACAGGGAAATGGGAAATCTGAAGACTCTGAAGAGTGTGATCTGTAAATCCATAAAGGCCTGTGAATCACTGTAGCAAAATCAGAACTATCAGATCTTTCCACTGAAATACCTTAGAGCAAAAATCTCCATATTCAAAAAGACATTCATAACTTTATTTGTTAAAAAAAAAAAAAGAGGGTGGAAGGAGAGAAATCATTCTGTTATCAAGGGGGCCTGAAGGAGGGATATGACTGAAGGGATGAGCAAAGCCCAGGGTGGGTGGGTCGGCAGTGTCTGCACCTGTCACCTCAGAACCTCAGAAGGACCTGAGTTCACGCACGTGGAGACAGCACAGACCAGGACGAGTGTGACAAGGCGAAGAGGGACGCGTCCCCTCACGCTCTGTGAAGGAAGGACAGGCCAGTCCCCTCAGCCCCGTCTCCAGGGACCCCGGGAGGTGCTGAGGTGCTCAGGCATTTGAAAGGCAGGACCGCCCCCGCCCCTGGCCCTCCGCGGCCGCCCGCCGCCCTCCGCGGCCGCCCTGCCCTGGTACCTCGTAGGCATCCTTGATGTTCAGGGGCTCGCCCAGCGCGGCCACGTGCCCCACGATGCCTTTGTTCCACTCCAGGCGGATGCAGCTGTTGGAGGCCTCCTCCAGCGTCGTCCCCTCCGCGACATCGAAGAGCCGGCTGACCAGGAACTTGTCGTTGGAGCTGTCCTCGCACACGAGGAACAGGGAGTAGCGGTCAGCCGCGATGAGCCCGTGGATGTGCAGGAAGATCTTGTGGCACAGGGCCGTGACGTCCAGGTGGCTGGAAATGTCCTTCACTAACTCCAGGAGCCTGGAGCACTGGTCCCCTTCGTCACTGTCGAAGCGTGGAGGGGTGAGAGGCATCTGCTCCTGCTTCCCTGCGTCGGACAGGAAGCTCACGGCGCCCTCGGAGTCCTTGACGAGGATGGGTCTCAGGGGCCTGTCGAACTCCGAGGCAGAGATCTTCCTGGCTGGTGTCCCAGGGGCACTGCTGTCTGCGCGGGGACTGGGCGGCAAGGGGCACGAGCAAGACTCGGGGTGGCCTCGGACGCCGTCCCTGCACACGGGGATGGTGTGCACTCTCTCAGCAAACCATGCGTTGACCATTTCCCTGCAGGAAGCACAGGCACACGTAAGGCGGGGGGTGGGCAGTGCCTGGAGGACTCCCAGCGCGGGGAGCAGGCACTCGCTGTCCTGCACCCGGAGAAGAAGTGACTTGAGCCCTGGAGGCAAGCAGGCAGTGTCCACCAACTTAAAGGCCCTGCCCCTCACCCCGGGGCCTGCCCACATGTGCAAAGTGCAAGGCAGGCACCTGGCACTGTCTGCACAAGGAGGGGAAGTGGCTACCTGATGCCCTGGCTGGAGGCTGACTGGTCACCCAGTGGGCGCCCACCTGCCCAATCTCCACAGGCGACAGAACATGTTCTTAGCATGTGCTTAGAGTGTGCTTGGCATGCTCAAGGCCCAGGCTCACGTGAACACGTCGGACACAAGGGAAAAAGTAGCAGGTAGGAGTCGAGAAGGAGGCTCTGACCAGGTGGTCACTGCTATGCCCGGGACACACTGCTACTTTCCCTCCTCTTTCTGGACTCCAGGGGACTCAGAAGAACATCCCATTACAGACACAGAAGCAAACATCATCACTTATTTAGACCTGGAGAGGCCGATGCTGACAGCCCTCTTTCTAAATCCCGAGGCTGACTTCAGTGGCTGAGCTGACCCGTTCTACAGCTGCCCTGCAGAGCCGGACCAAAGCCCAGTCTCCTGGTGGATGCAAGTTCCAGGGGCACCAACGCCAGCCACCAAGGCGGCCCCAGAACCCAGCAAGCTGGAGAGCCAAGATCAGCTGTGCGCAGAGGACGACGCGGGGGAACGACCAGCCCCGCACCCGCTCTGCACAGGAGCCCCGCCCTCAGACACTCTTCACCTGCACTGCACCGCTGTCCCCAAGCATCAGAGACGGGGACTCCTGGGGATGTCGTCCAAATGACTATGGTGCTCTGAAACTGGGCCACGGTTATAAACTGAGAGCAATGTGTGAAGGGGACATGTGATGAGCACCCGAGAGCCGGTCCCAGGTCACCGGGCCCAGCACAGAGCAGTGCAGGGTGCAGGCTGGGTTCAGACACAGAACGGGTTCTCAGCCTGGCTGGGTGTCCTGTCCTGTCCTCGCCCTGGCCACTCCAGCCATCCTATATTGGCCGCTTCTAGCTGAAATCACTGGCTGATAGACAACCAAGAAAAGGTAGTTCCAGGTTCCCACAGCAAACCAAGAGCCCCAGGCCACCGCGTGACCAGTGTCATCACCAAGAGCACAGCCACCCACGCTGCGATCCTGACGTGATAACCAGGGCTTTTCAAAGTTCTTGGTTTAATAAGTCGTACGTAGTAAAGCTAGAGCATAAAACTTCTCCTTAAATCAAGCTCTTTCATTGGCTCCCCAAACCACATCGTATAACAGACTCCACAGCTGGGGGTGGGGGTCACCTGCCATCTTCTCACCAAAGAGAAAAGTGTCCACTGCTGGAAGTCCCTGGGCTTTCCCTTGGCATCTTCCCCTGGGAGCCTCAGGGTCATCCTTGATAAACTGGGAACTGCTAACCGTCCCAACCCCTCACCAAGTTCAAGGTTCTGACCCCCTCAATCAAGATGTCCAGGCCAGCAAGCAGGGTGACCCTAGCTCAGCCATGAGGCTGCAGACCTGAGGGCTGGACAAGCACAGCTCTCTGGAGGTCCAGCTCTGTGGTGGTGACTCGGCTGCTGTGCCAGCTGGCCATGGAGACCCCACGCAGCCTCACGGTCAACGGGCCAGGAGGCGGCCCCCAGCAGGCGACCCACTCAGCCTCCAAGCGTGGGAACCCTTTCAAACTCCTTCCCAGAAGTCAACGTCAAAGCTAAGCAGAGAGCACAGGTCACCACCTGTGAGGGTCGGCCATCCCCACACCCCACTCGCTCCCTGGAGGCGGAGGGCTGGGTAAGGGGTAGCACTGTTCATTCACTCCTGAGGCTCAGCCAAGAGAATCAGGGCTCAGGAGCCCCAAGCAGGGCGGACTGGCGTGGTCGTATAGGCTTTCCAACACACCACGAGCACCCAGGGGCTCGCCACAGCAGGTGCTGGGAATGCCCTTCTGTAGACCCTCCAATTGGAGGGGAGGGGGCTCTTCTTTTAAAGAAGTGGTATTTAAGTCACTCATGCGAGGTACTTCGCCCTTTGCTACAAGCACTGGTGATACATAGTGATTCTGAGTATAAGCTGGTCTTCACTAACTGCCCTGCAAACCTGGGAGCCATCAGAGAGCACAGCGGCTTGAAGTCCGCCGGCTGACGCAGCTTTCACAGGCTCTTCAAAAAGGACAACGGGCCCTGGACACTCAAGGCAAGCCCTGGCCAGGGGCAATGCAATGAAAATCCGTGCCACAGCTTTGTCACCCACGCCCAGAGCCTGGTGTTGAGCGCCCTGTGAAGGTGCCCCTCCTCCACACTCTGCTGTATGCCCGTCCCTTGCTCCTTGTGCTACAGCACCACACCCTGTCTCCCACCTACCAACGAGCTGCACCCCACAGCTGTTTCCCCACTTTTTGAAGACGTCCTGGGCTAACCAGGGAAACCTGAAGTCCTGGAAGTCGACCTTGGGGGAGCTCGGCCACAGTACAGGTCATGAGGAACCCTTTCCCACGGGAGCACAACCTCCCAAAGACGCATGCCCAGTCCAGGGGGGAAGAACCCACCCGCAGGTGTCCTGTGGTGATTGAGACCTTGAGTCTCAAATCTTTTCCAACGATGGGTCTGATCCGATCTGAGGGCTCATCCTGCCATTCCACTCCAGGACGACTCTAGCAGCCCAGCCTGCTCATGGGGCAAGGGCTGAGTACAAATACCAGCACCCCAGGAGCTCACCGGTCTCTTCCCGAGGCCTCCCAGGGCACAGCAGCACGGCATCCATCAGGATCAGAGCCTGGGTGCAGAACCGGGAAGCCGGCAGGTACCCACACTAGTGCCCCAAGCTGGACACACAGATGACTCGGCCAATTGTGGCTGATAACACAGGATCAAGGGAATCCCAGGGATGGGAAGCTTGAGTGTTTTCCACAAAGAATGTGTCAAGAGTACACACGGGAAGGAAAAAAGTGCTCCCCGTGGCGGCCTCCGTGCCCCACTTTCAAAGTACATGAAAAGGGTCTGTGTTCTTAAAATGACGGAATCAGTCAATTAATGACCAGATGAAATGATGGCCAGCAGCAATGACTCCATGGTGCTGACACAGACGTAGGTTGTGCACACTGGGCTTGCTTCATCTTGGACACTGGTCAGTAATGACTTTGAAACAGTGAAGGGCCCACAGGGCACCCCCCGAGGGAAGAAGCAAAGCATGCCCCCGGCCAAGTCCTCAGTTTAAATCAGATTATTATGACCCTGTCACAGGAAGGAAGGCCACAGCATGCAGTCCATGTTTTAGGAACCGTCCACGAATCTGGACAACTCAGTACCTGCTGATGCCGACGCTAGAGGCCTCAGGGAGAAGCACCAAGTAAAGCCCACTGACGACCCGGGAGGCCCATGCCACAGCGGCTCAGATGCAACCCGCCACCAAGAACAGGCCACATGCCACACACAGGCTGACAACTCACACACGTGCACATGCACACGCCTGCACACACAGGCATTCCTGTGAACACACTTGCACAAGCACACACATGCACACAAAAGTGCACACACCCACGTACACACACATGGGCACACACATGCATGCACAGGCACACCTATTAACACACACAAGTGCACATGCCCATGTGCCACACACATGCACACACAAGTGCACACACGAGAAAATACATGCAAAGCACACTGTGAACACACTTGCACAACCACACACATGCACACAAAAGTGCACAAACATGAGCAAACTCATGCATGCCCAGGCACCTGTGAACATGTTTGCACAAGTACACACATGCACACACAAGTGCACACATGCATGCACATGCACGCCTGTGAACATACACACAAGTGCTCATGCTCACGTGCACACACATGCATGCACAAGTGCACACGCCCACGTGCACACACATGAGCAAACAAATGCATGCCCAGGCACACCTGTGAATACACTTGCACAAGCACACACATGCACACACAAGTGCATACATATGCATGCCCAGGCATGCCTGTGAACATACACACAAGTGCACATGCCTACATGCACACTCATGGGTATATACACGCATGCACAGACACAACTGTGAACACACACATGCACACACAAGTGCACACACCCACATGTACACACATGGGCACACACAGGCATGCCTGTAAACACACACACACACACAACACACACACACACACACACACACAGTGTTCATAAGGGACCCCATTAGCAGTAACTAGTTCCTACCAAAGTCAAACTGTTTGTGCATCTTAAAATAAGCATCTTGGAAAAGACAGAAATGTCTTAAAGTACACTCAATATTCCAGAGGTCTCTAAAGGGAAAAATACTGGAAATGTTTTGTCTAAGTTTTATAAAATAAAACTTTTCTTGGCTTCTAGAAAAGCAGGAAAAGAAAAGAAAAAAATTACAGGGCAAAGAAATTCTAACACAAACCTAATAACCCTGGTGAATCAAAAATATAATTAGATGGAACCCACTAATTAGATGGCACTAGTTTAATGTGCCTGTACCTTTGCCTAAAATAATGCACCAGAGGATAAAAATTCTTCGAAAATATCCTGTACTTAGGGTATTTTTGCTCTAATACTAAAAATACAATTGTAATGGCCCCGTACCTGAGCATTCAGCCACTCTATTTTAAGATGTCATTTGAGATTTCCCACTTTTACACTCTAAAATTACAAGTGGAGTTGGAGCCCGCTCGGGCAACGTCTCCAGGCACATCCTTCAGCAGCGTGCACCTGGGAGACCCGGAAGAAGCCAACTCCTGACTGGGTTCCCAGTGACGTGGGTCCACAAGCCTGTGCTCCCGCCCCAGGAAGGCACCCTGAAGTCAGCCCAGCACGGGGACAGGTGCACACTGCCACCACAGACCACTTCTCTCCAAGCAGTGACTCTGGCCACGTTATCTGCACTCTGTGAAATGCAGTCACCGGCACCT